AAAAAAAATAAATTATATCTATTAAGAATAAACAGTATGATTTAATAATATATATTCTGGCCACTCAGCAACTGTAGAAAGAGGCCAAACTTCATCACTGGAGGGAAATTCTGAACAAATTCAGCTTTTATTCTGCTGTACTAGTTATAAGCAGAACAAATTCTGTATTTCCTCCATGATTAACCCAAAGAATACTCAATTGAAACGAATATGAGCAACAAAGCAAAAACTGCGCAACGGAAGCAAAGAGTGAAACAGAGTGGTTGGAGAGACGAGCATACCCTGATGATTCCATCGTTGGCATCGAGCGACAGTGATCTAGAAGGCGAATCCATTCTCCGAAATACAAGTTCCGCAACTGCTGCAGCCAATCTGCGCAACACAGACAGGGTCGTAAATATGATCGAGGGCTTTCACCTCCCAGGTTTGCTCCTATAGGAAGTGGAGATAATTAAATAAAGACCATCACTCCTCCGGAAACCCTAATTGCTTACAGTTTCTGCACATCGACAATTGAGTAGGAATATCAGGAACATTCTCAATTTGATTCCGATGCACATCGGCGATTGCTTGCAAACCCTGTGCAGACTACACTGCTTCTAGCCATTAATGGAGGATGGGTTTCTAATATCAGGGGCGCAGCCCCTCTATCAATGATTATATGCAGACTGCACTTTAGTTTTTGTTTTTTTATTAAGAATCTTGATTGCAGCTCAGAATGCATTATGCAGTTTAAGTATCATAGTTACAAAAATACTAATTAATGGAAAAGAATAATTTTATTAAAAAAATTTTAATAAATTTATAGTTTCAAGTTTCAACTAAAACACATTTTTGTTATTTATTTTTTAGAGAGTGCTGATAGTGTAATTTGAACAGAATGGACTAGTTAATACCCCGGGCAATGCCCGGGCCCTTGAAATAAAAAAATAAAATAAAATAAAATTTTAATATTAAAAGGAAATTAATAGTGAGAAGACATATAATTACTTAAAAGAAAAATATAATAGTGAGTTTTAGAGAATTTAATTTCAATTATGTCAATCCTTATGATGTTAGCAATATATGCATATTTAACTGCTTGGGAATACAATAAAAAACAACAAAATACTCGTAATGTTGTGTTTTATTATAACCATAGTATCCGCTGTCATATATGATTCACGAATAACATTGACGATACAATCTCAATGTAAGAAATCTGCCATAGGAGGTTTCTGCAATCAAAATTCAACTTGAAGAAATGAGAATTGTCTCATGTTATATAGCACATTATCAAATGTGTTTTGCAAGAATACATTTACAAAAAAACCAATGGAAACTAAATCAATACCTCAAAAGTATATTGTAATGAAGTTCACCCATAATGAGGCCAAGAAGCCCGACAATAAACTAACAACAAAAGTTATGAGGCTTGTAGCAAAGCTCAAATAAAAGTACAGTAAAGTAGGTAGAATAGAATTAATAGTAAGTAAACTTTTTTTAAGATGTCTCTTTATACTAATTCAAACTTTAAAGAAGAATTTCTTGTCATTATCTAATATGTCTTTCTATGCAAAGTGCTATTCTTGTTAAGTATCTTTTAGACCATGTTCAAACTTCCTTCACCAATATAGAAATGCTCTTATCAATTCATAGTCACTAAAAAATCAATGTAAAAAGCAGTAAAGTCAAGAATGAATCCTAGTATCCTATATACATATACTTTATATTGCTGGATGATTTTGCATCTATATTTGTAAACAAATTCCCAATTCTAGCCACATTTAACATATGTAATTATGTATTGCATTTTACATTTTGCATTTTGTTGTCTCCATGATACCCACAAAGGAGAAGGAAACAAACAGAGGTAAGGTAAAATGGTAAATCTCATAGCCCTAGGTTTATGTGCATCCAGGAAAATTCAGTTACAAACTATTGATTAGAAGATAAGGAAAATTCTAAATAATTAGAATGTTTTCTGGTTAGAAAAATAAAGTTACTAACCAAAACCACAAGCAAAAGGGAATCAATGAGCAGTATCACCAGTAAGTATTATTTGATTGTAGCAACATACAAACTTTTCAACAACTTCAGCATACATCATCCATAGCTTTATCTCAATAATAATTATAACTAAGAGCT